ATTTTTCAAAATTTTTACTTTTTTGTTTCAATCCAATTTTTGACGATTTTTGCTTTGACATTTTTTAATTTTATCAAGAATTTCAAAAATTTCAAAACAATTTTTTACAAAAAAAAACTTGTATAAAAACATATGACGTAATTTTCAGAATCTAATCTCTCATATGTCACGATTTCAGGTGTGGTTATTATGTAAGTTTCTGAGAAACTGTTTTTTTTTTTGGCAAACTACATTTTCAGAAGATTTTTGGTCGAACTTTTTATTTTTTTTAACTGTTATTCTCCAAAACATTACAAAAATTTGAAATTTTGCATACATATTCTTGTAAACTTTGGTCACAATTTGATGAAATTTATTTGTGTTTTATTATGTACGTTTTTGCGTAATTAATTGTTTTGTAGTGACCGAAACTTTTGCCCAGGGAGTGTATGTCAAAAGTGTCAATTTTGACTATATCTATTTACAGTAATATTAAGGCTTATTATTGAAATTTAGCCGCGGCTAGATACAATTAGTCGACTAGCGACACTAATCTGACTATATTCTTTTTAAAAAATGACGGTCTTCTTAACATTGCAGGCGTACTAATTAACGTTCGTATTACTGTGTTAGAAATTAATATTAATGATAGTTTGATTTCGTTTTCAATCCTTACTCACGTATGATCCACATACATGAATAATAATAATGGCTGCGATATTATTATGAGCCGTGGAAATTTATATATCAACAAAAATTTCTTGAACACAGCCACAATCCATTTTTAGGAAATAATAATGATACGAAAAATGTATACTCAAAACTCTCGAACGCATTGAAGTTTTTTTTCTAATAGAGAAAAAAGCAAGTCATCTTTTTTCTGGTAGCAAATAAGTAAAAGATATTTTTGATAGGAATAAATCTAAAGAATATCATGGCGTGAAGCTAATTATTGTCAACGATTAACCTTCAAACAAGACACTTAACATTCACTCATATATTTAAGGCAGAAAAATCCTATAAATTAATGTATAGAAAATTATTAATGCAAAAAAATTTTAAAAAAATATTTAAACTTTCAGCCCAGTATAATATACTTTCATGGTCACTCATTTTTAGTC